CTCTTCTACCATACTGTTTCAGGTTGTAAGATTGTCTTACTAAAAGATTCTGAGACATTGATCGTAAGGAACGTGATGGAACATAAGGAACCAACAAAACTTCGATTGGATTTTGGTCTTTTCCTAGCCGTCAATCATCTGGCGCCTATTCAAATTACCTTTGAACTTATGCCGCTCTTCTTGAAAATCTGAACGGCTCGAGGATATTCGAAGGAGTTCTAAACGGAAAATGATTAACAAGTAACTGTATTCTTTCTACTAAGTATTGGCGGTCTTATTTTTGCTTGTACTCATAACTTCAGGAAATTTGAGCTACGAGTTCTCATTCCGGCACTGAAAATGTCTCACGATTTTGTTGACAGAATCAAATGAGGTAAACTAGCTTTCGACTTCTTTCTTCAAAACATTTGACTGCAAATTAACTCTGTACTTGAAAGCAAATCATTTCAGTGGTTTTGATAATATTTTGAGAATTACAAATGTTTCGATCTACTCTCCCTGCATTATTACGAACTATCGATAGCATGAGAAGGGTTGAAGGGTTTCACTGATCATGTTTGGGGTTTCATTTGCATAGGCGCCAGATGATTGGCGGCTCGGAAAAGACTAAAATCAAATCGAAGTTTTGAAACGGCGGGTCGCGATGCAACGAATATGGCTGTAAGCAAAAACAAAAGATCAACTGGAAATAACATAATCTGTACGATTTTAATGAAATACACTTAATTCTTGTATGAAAAATTATAAAGACATATAGAAAACACCAATATTGGCATCATAACGCAATTTGTTTTCTTGATTTCGTAAATATTTTTATACTGATCATACAATGTCCTATATGTTTGACTTCCATCGTGGCAGATTCATGCTATTGTTAGTTTATTTTTCGAAATTTTTTGTCTTAGGACGCAAATGAATACCCATGCAGGAACGCAATTGAATGTTTTTGAATATCTAAACTTTGTTATTGAACATTCGCAGCACGCAATTGGGTGTGGATATGGTGCAAATGATTGTATTTACGGTTTATGGACTGATGTTTAGCACAAATGATTGCGTGCTTTCTCGTATTTAGTTTGATTTTGTTTCACGGTTTAAGGTGACTGCCTACTTTTGAAAATTGATTTAAACTTTTTTTTAAACTTCGATTATTCGAATTGAAATTTAATGCTGATTCAAAATCTGGAAAGAAAACTAGGGTGTCCCGAGCTTGTTTTCGAGATCATCAGCATTTAATGGAAGCCTACRCRCGAGCTTTTGGAGTAAAAATTGCGCCACCGGAAGTGATTAGAAAAAAATTAAGATTCATAAGATAATAGATATTTGCCGACTATATGATTGCACGAACGAAGGCTAGTCAATCCCTCTACAATAATACATGGATATTTTCGACAAAAAGACAAAGAGATACATTGATTTGTCATATTTTGTAGTTTCGGTGCTCTTAAGAAATCTCAAAGTCGAACAAAAATCCATACGAAAATATATTTTTTCACGTGTTCCTGATTTAAACTTTTCCTAAAATGTTGATATAACCTAGACTTTTAGGAGTTTTTTCGAATGAGCTATCAAAAAATAGAGTCCCGTGCAAAATTTGAGGGTTTTGCCCTGTTGAAGCTCAAAACGCTTATGGTTCTTCAATAAAATCTTTTAGATTTTTCAGCGATTTTTGAGCGCGCGCACATCGTGGGCTCAAATCGAACGTTCAAAAGTAGGCAGCCACCTTAATTGCGAATACAAATTCAAATACACGAATACAATAGCGCAGCGCAACCGTTACGTCATAAAAACGAAGACAATGGCGAAATTCGGACAAACAAACTTACAAGTTTACTTACAGCAGATAATTTTCACAGCCGATCGCAGTAGATCTTAGTTTACATGGGTTATTATTGTAACTTTAAGTAAAAATAATGAAATCGGTTCGTATAATCCTCGTAGCGGTTAAAAAGAATGCAATGTTTGTCCGAATCTTCAAGCTATTTTTAGAATCAGTGCGCTACGCTATTCATTGATGCATGAAAGCATATTTCAACGGCCCGCAAGTGCAATGCACGAACAAAAGTTCGAAATACTCAAATACAATATAACGGAAAGATAACAACGCTTTTGATTGGCTATTGAACATTCTTGAAATATTTCCCACGGTGCCCACGGTTTTTCGATTCGCACTGTAAATGTGCTGCTTTGTAACTTCCAGTTCAGCTAGAACTACAACCTTAGACCTTTCCCTCTCCCCCCAAGAATCTATGTTCTCAACGAGTGTAATGTATATATTTCATATGAGAATTTTTCATTTTTAGTATCAGGAATGGATGTCATCAGTTACTGAACTAAATTATGCAGGATGACAAGTTGGCTCTTTCTTGGTGTAGCAAG